AAGAAAGTAAAATGTTAAGTTATGCACAATTATTGGGCTCTGAAGTCCATACTATGAAAAATGAAAAACTGAGTTTCCATTAAAATGTAGCATGCCTTTTTTTGCCATCTATTTCTTCAGCTCCAGTGTTATAAGTCTCATTTTAAATAACACATTCACTTTTAAATTGAAATTAAAATATCCGAAGTTTGAGATCCAAAGCTTAAATCAATATGCAAATGTAAAAAGTATTAAATGAAAAGTCCTGTATTTGAGTTCACAACATTAAATTACATAAATTATCATGCCTGACTTGGCAGCATTTCTAATAAGAATGGCCAGGGCTTTACGTGATCCAAAGTTTAAAGAGAGCCAGTAATGTTTTATACCTGCTAAAAATAATTAATGTATATTTTAGAAAATTATGCAGATCATAGACATTCACTATTCTCTTCAGTAGTGTTGCACAAGTGGAGTATCATGCTTACTTTTGTACTCACTAATTTGCAGCACTTGACAAATCATGGTGTGTTCAGGGAAGAGCAACGAGAAAAGCATGGTAATTAAAGAGCATGTAGTGGTAGGAACAGCTAACAATGTGCTTTGGGAAGAGAAATCTAAGCGTATATTGGTAATAGATTCTAATATTAAAAGAGAGTTAAAAGGTATATAAAAAGTTTTTAGTAAGCCAAACTATACAATATTGCCTAGAGGTGCACATTTGGGTAATTAACCTACTAACATGCAAAGACGGGATTACTATAAATATCAGCATAGTGGATAGTTCAGGGGATAGGGAAGAGTTATCATTGGGAGAAGGCACAAAGAAAAGCTCCTAGGGTAATCGTCAACTTTTTATTTATTGACTTAGGTGATGGTTACAATATACACTGAAACTCATCAGGCTTTACTTTTTGTTTGTTGTATCCATGTATTTATTCATATAACAATACTGGGGATTTTATGAGGCCATGTTAAGTTGACTTACTCTGTGTTATTTTCAGAATAAAGAAGACCAGCCACGGCTGGGCAAGGAACCATCTTTGAGTTCAATATAAGCAGCATTGACTAAAGGAGAGAGGCTGCTTCAAGTGTATTTGACTTCTCTGTCATTGAAGTTATGCCAGTAGCATTTGTGTAGAGATTCTGTTGAAGGATCTCCTATGCAGAGCAGAAGGCTAGATTCATGACTTCTGAGGTTTTTTTCCACTTTGAAATTCATAACCTTTTAATTCCCAACACAAACCCAACAGCAGTCAAAGGAACTTGAGTGAATTTTGTAATCAAAGTGTTTGGAGACCTCAAGTCATCTCCTGCTCCTGAAGCTTTTCAGTTCAATGTGCACATTGTGATTCTGCATATTTTTGTGTACATAAAAATGTTTGTAAATTTTAAAGTTACACAAATTTTTTGTAAAACATTCCAGTTTAGTTCTAGGTCACTGTGGTAAAATCACTGTGTGAAAAAGTAATGGACTAAGGGGTAGGCAGAATAACAATGATAGGTGGATATAAGTTATCATTTTTAGAATTAAATATGAACCAAGCTCAGTTCCAAGTGCTTTTATAAATACTAACCCTCACAACATCCCTTTGAGGAAGGAAATTTTACTACATTTTCTTCATGTATAAAGAACCTGGTACACAAACAAGTTAAATAATTGCCCACGTCGGCAAAGCCTGAGTCCTATCGTCTCGCCTTCCTCCCATACAGCATGAGCTTCACCACTCGCTCCACCTTCTCTACCAACTACCGGTCCCTGGGCTCTGTCCAGGCGCCCAGCTACGGCGCCCGGCCGGTCAGCAGCGCGGCCAGTGTCTATGCAGGCGCCGGGGAGACCCAGGCAGAGGCACAGCCACAGGCCCGGAGC